CGCGTGGCGCTTTTGTTGCCGGCGGCAGCCGAAACCAAAACAAAGTTATTTAAGCACCACAAAAGTGTTACACCAAGTCATTCAAGCTGCCATTTATGTGAACCAGCAGAGGTTTTACTAGTTAACAATTAACTGTGGGGAAGTTGAGGAAACAAGTACCATGAAAGAGGTTCATCTCGTAGATGGTCACTTTGTCAAGGGAATGTTGAGAATGTCAAGAATGGCTGCTGTTCACTGAAAGGCAGCGTTTGGGTTGACTCATAACATGCCAGTTAGGCAATCAGCCAGGGAAGGGGTTATGTCAGTATCATGCATTTGGGTCTCCTCAAAATAAACTAAAACAGAAAGTTCTCAGAGAGCCTCCCACTTTCAAAATAAAGTACCTTGGATTTTCCTTAATGTACCATTTTTCAGAAAGCATCGTCCCTCATGGGATGACAGCTTTGGCCAGCTGATTCGGTCAAGGCAGTTGTTCATTCTGTCTTTTGTTCAACTGCCAGTTAAATACTGTTAAATATTTCATTTAATGCACATTCAGTGAATTTGGTAGTCTAGCTTTCTATGAAGTTACTTGTCTTTTTAGACATATAATTAGCATTTAGTCCACATTACATAATGCGTATAGAACTATCAAAAGGTGTATTTTCAGTTATGATTTCAGCTTAACTCCAGATGTATGTAGATCTGTGGTCTTGTTTGTACATTATTTGAGTGAATATAATGACAGTGACTCACAAACTGTGCAAGTGATAAAGCATTTGTAAGATAACGAACTGCTAACTATTTGTCACTTGTGCAGACTTGCAGGCATTTATGTATTTGTATTTTGTCAGATCTAGTAAGGGCATTTTTGTGGCAGGATTCTTAGAAAGGAGTGTCATGGTGAGGAAGATGGTATTAAATACTAAGTCAAAACGGTCTGAAGAGGACGGTATTCATTAAGGATGTTCACGGCTCATCTAGGAAGCACTAAGATGTAAATATGAAATTCTCCTGCTGCCATGAATCAATTATCAGACTGTGTACTTTGTCATATAATAATTGTACTTGCCAACATAATTTCAGTAAGAAGTTCCTCAGGTTTACTGATAACACAAGGCTACAAGTTTGACAGCATTTCATATACAGTATGACATATATGATGGGTATATACACATGCATATATGTGTATAAAGCATCTATATATAATCACTGTTAACTTCCTGACAGGTGTTTGTCGGACCACACTGGATTCTCTGAAGAAACTATCTGATCGTAAGTGTTGATAATAGCGAACCTGAAAAGGGCAGATTAGTAAAATATCACAATCATCTGAAAATGCAGTTAGGAATTAACACTGTTTTGCATAGTTACTCAGTTCTGGAACTAAGCAGCAAAAGCAGCACTTTCAGTAACAGAGGGTTTCCCTAGCAAGAGGAACGAATCCCAGCTCTACTGTCTCAGCTCAGCAGGACACAAATTCTGGAGTGGACCCACAAAAAAAAGCCACAGTTTTCCTAAATAAACTGATGTCATCCTTTTAATTAAGTTTTAATTATTAAGTTACAATCTAGAGACAGAAAGATAATTCCCCTATTGATTTTTCAAACCTCAGGCAACTAAATTAGAGTTGCCAGGAGAATTCCAAGTTTGTGCTCCCTTTTCCTGGCACCTGAACAAATTAAATCTCTCAGTTTGTAGAAAAATTAGGTCATAACAACAAGGCTTGCTGTGAGACTTCACAGTATCCATGGGAGAAA